ATATATATATATACACATACATATAGTGGATTATGTATGCTGAACTATCCCTGCATCCCTGGATGAAGCCTACTTGATCATGATGGATGATTGTTTTGATGAATTCTTGGATTTGGTTTGCAAGAATTTTATTCAGTATTTTTGCATCAATATTCATAAGTAAAATTGGTGTGAAGTTCTCTTTTCTTGTTGAGTATTTGTGTAGTTTAGGTATAAGCACAATTGTGGCTACATAAACAAATTGGGTAGTGTTCCTTCTGTTTCTATTGTGTGTAATAGTTTGAATAGTATTGATATTAGGTCTTCTTTGTAGGTCTGACAGAATTCTGCACTAAACCCATCTGGTCCTGGGCTTTTTGTGGTTGGGAGACTTTTAATGACTGCTGCTAAATGGCCATCTTGTGGAAAGCAATCTACAGATTCAATGCAATCCCTATCAAAATTCCAACTCAATTTTTCATAGAGCTAGAAAGAGACATTTGCAAATTCATTTGGAATAACAAAACCCGAGACAAAAGAACTTCTGGGGGATTTACTATCCCTGTCCTCAGGCTGTATTACAGAGCAATAGTGATAAAAACTGCATGGTATTGGTACAGAGACAGGCAGGAAGATCAATGGAATAGAATTGAAGACCCAGAAATCAACCCACACTCCTATGGTCATATGATCTTTGAAAATGGAGCTAAAATAATCCTGTGGAAAAAAAGACAGCATTTTCAACAAGTGGTGCTGGTTCAACTGGAGGTCAGTGTGTAGAAGAATGCAAATCAATGCATTCTTATCTCTTTGTACAAAGCTCAAGTCCAAGTGGATCAAAGACCTCCACATAAAACCAGATACACTGAAACTAATAGAAGAGAAACTTGGGAAGACCCTCGAACACATGGGCGCAGGGAAAAATTTCATGAACAGAACACCAATGGCTCATGCTCTAAGAACAAGAATTGACAAAAGGGACCTCATAAAATTGCAAAGCTTCTGTAAGGCAAAGGACACTGTCAATAGGACAAAACGGAAACCAACAGATTGGGAAAAGATTTTTACCAATCCTACATCCTAAAAAGGCAAATATCAAATATATACAAAGGACTCAAGAAATTAGACTCCAGACAACCAAATAACCCTATTAAAAAATGTGGTACAGAGCTAAACAGAGAATTCTCAACTGAAGAAACTGGAATAGTCAAGAAGCACCTAAAGAAATATTCAACACCTTAGTCATCAGGGAAATGCAAATTAAAACAAACCTGAGATTCCACCTCACATCAGTCAGAATGGCTAAGACCAAAAACTCAGGTTATAGCAGATGCTAGTGAGGATGTGGGGAAAGAGGAACACTCCTCCATTATTGGTGGGATTGCAAGTTGGTACAACCACTCTGGAAATCAGTCTGGCAGTTTCTCAGAAAATTGGACATAGTACTACCTGAGGATCCAGCTATACTACTCCTAGGCATATACCCAGAAGATGCTCCAACATATAACAAGGACATATGTTCCACTATGTTCATAGAAGCCTTATTTATAATAGTCAGAAGCTGTAAAGAACCCAGATGTACTTCAACAGAGGAATGGATACAGAAAATATGGTACATTTACACAATAGAGTACTACTCAGCTATTAAAAACAATGAATTCATAAAATTCTTAGGCAAATACACAGAAGTAGAAAATATCGTGAGTGAGGTAACCTAACCACAAAAGAACACACATGGTATGCACTCATTGATAAGTGGATATTAGCTCAAAAGCTCAGAATACCCAAGATACAATTCACATACCACATGAAGCTCAAGTAGAAGGAAGACCGAAGTGTGGATGCTTCAGTCCTTAGACGAGGGAACAAAATACTCACAGGAGGAAATACAAAGACAAAATGTGGAGCAGAGACTGAAGGAAAGGCCATCCAGAGACTGCCCCACCTGGGGATTCATCCCACATATAGTCACCAATCCCAGAAACTATTGTGGATGTCAAGAAGTGTATGCTGACAGGAGCATGGTGTAACTGTCTCTTGAGAGGCTCTACAGGAGCCTGACAAATACAGAGGTGGATGTTCACAGCTAACCATTGGACTAAGCACAGTGTCCCCAATGGAGGAATTAAAGAAAGGACTTAAGGAGCTGAAGGGTTTACAATCCCATAGGAGGAACAACAGTATCAACCAACCAAACCCCTAGAGCTCCCAGGGACTAAATCACCAACCAAAGAGTACACATAGAGTGACTCATGGGTCCAATCGGATATGTAGCAGAAGATGGCCTTGTCAGGCATCAATGGAAGGAGAGGCCCTTGGACCTGTGAAGGCTTGATACCCCAGTGTAGGGGAATGCCAGGGTGGGGAGACAGGTGTGGGTGTGTGGGTGGGAGCACACCCTCATAGAAGCAGGGGGAGGAGGGATGGGATAGGGGGTTTCTGGAGGGGAAACCAGACAGGGGATAATATTTGAAATGTAAATAAATAAAATATTTAAAAAAAACTCTTGCAAAAGCAAAAAGCAAAACAAAACAAAAAATGTATGTAAGAAAAAAAAGCAGAATCACAGTATACTAGTTCACATTAGTTAGTTGAAGAGGAAATAGCATTTACCTAATCATAATGATAAAATTTATTTTCTGTTAAAATTAACCAAAAAACCCATATAATGAGATTATGGTTACAATCTTGAACACAGATGTTTGTAACTATGAAAATTTAATAACCATGAAGAGCCAAATCAATATTGTCTAATACCAATAAATTGTTAATACAGTAAAAGAGCCAACTTTAGCTAGGAATGGTAGCCCACATTTGCAAAGACCAACACAAGGGGGTATAGGCAGGAGGATCATACGCTCAGACTGGAGTATATAACAAGACCCTGTCTCAAAGCAAAAAATAAAAAGAAGCAAACTTCATTAGAAATTAGAAAAGTAACAAAAAGAAACAATAGTAACCACATTTCAGAGAATCGAAGTAGGATGGTATCAGTAACCATCATCTTCATTTGTGACAGCAAGATAAAACAACAATAACAATAAAGTTTGGGTTGTTTGGTTTTTGGTTTGTTTGTTTGTTTGTGACAGGATCTCACTATATAGCCCTAGTTGGCCTGGACTTTATATATAGATCCACTTGCTTCTGCCTCCTCTGTGCTAGGATTAAAGGCATGCACCACTATTCCCAGCAATAGATTACCATGTTTTAATGAGAAAATTAATCTATACAAACATTTAAATGAAATACTGTAATTCTGAAAAGACTTTTATGGCAGGAAGGCAAGAGTTACATCTCCATGGTAAATGTTTGCATAGTATTAATGAGGCCCTGGGTTCCATCTTTAGCAACAGTAAAATAAGTTCATGTAGCAACAGAGAAGTATTTGTAAAAATCTCTACATTTCTTAACATTTGGCTTTTGTGTTAGAACACATCAGTGAATTAGAAACTAGCAGTGCAACAGAGTTTGGAAAATATAGCCCAAGACTATGGTGTTATTGCTAAATAGACTCCAGCTTCCTAGACTTTTATAATACTCAAACTGATAAAGACATTTTAATTTTTCTTAGAGCTGTTAAGAAATAGAGTACTATTAGTGTCTTACTAATGAGAAAAATTAAATGAAACAGAACCATCAATTCTATGACTGGGCATTAGTCAATGAATAATAACATCTCTGTCATACTTACTCTGAGCTTTTTTGGGCTTGTATAGATTGGAAGCAAGTGTAGAGTACCCGACCAGTCTATTAAAAAAAAAAAAGTAGAAAGGAAATGTCATACACAAAAGGATTAATTTTTGTTACTAATTTTTTTCTTGAGACATACTATCTGGACATCTTTACACAGTATATTATAGTATTCAGTCCACAATTATATAGAATACAATGTATAATAATTGACTCAGTATGACTATCATTTATCTTCAACCATTAATTCACCTTTGTATTGGACATTTTATAGCAATTTAGTATACTCTAACCTAAAACTCAAAAGCTTTTATGGATATGTTAGGCAAAAGAGATGCCAAAAACTATAGGATATGTTACAATAAATCAATTTTTGTGAGAAGGATCATATACACAGTCAATACAAGTTGTAGGGAGAATTCTGGAATTTTGGTTTCTTTAAAAAAACACAGAAATATTATAAGAATATGTTTTCATTTTAATCCCAGGTGTGGGGTTATAGGGCTGCTTCACAGCAGCTGACTACAATTTGCCTCATGCTCTAGTAGAGGCATGGTTTTGTCAGCTGCGGAGAGTATTCTGCAATTGTGTGGCATTTGGAATTCTGGGAACTTTCAGAGAGCATATAAATGCTGGAGCCCTGATGGGTGTGACTGGTGGTGGCTGGTCATTCAGGGAGTAGGTAGGGGGTTGCTTGTAGTAGTTGTGCTCAAAAAAGGAATAACAAGAAAGAAATTAGATTCAGAAATCTCTCTCTCCACCCTCTATCCTTCTTTCTCTACTATATAATGATAGGGGGTAAAACTGGAGGCGGGGGAAGATAAAGGATAAAAAAGAAATACCCACAAAGTATCAAAGACCAGCTATAAGCAAAGATACAAGAAGAAATAAGATTAGGGATCTCTCTCTTCCCCCTTCTTTCTCTACCTTTCTTCTACCCTTCTTTCTCTCCTATCTAGTGATAGGAGATGAAACCAAGGGAGGCTTGAAAGTTAGGGATAAAAAATAGGAAATGATTTCAAATGCCATAGAGAGAACAGCAGGTTACAAAGGAATGGATGTATCTCTTCAAGAGGCCAGGAAAAATTTATTGCAGCTGCTACCACTGGGATATCCCCGGGTTTGCTCCCAGAGGGAATTTTCTGTTTTTTTCTTCTTCATATATTTTGTTTGATAAAAGTTTGAAAGACCAGCAATAAGTCACAACCAAACATCTGCTTAGGAGACAGAATTATTAACAAATATGAGTTCCAGGAAAGCGATTAACCTCACTCACTATTTATGATGAAAATGAACAAATTAAGTGGTGATAAAACCAAAAGCATTTCAAAAAGTTTTAAAGTTCCAGATATTTAATTCTAGTGTTTCTGGAAGAGAATGAATTTATGGTACATAGTCATTATTAGCACACTCACATATCTTTTCCACACCATGGTCAAAACTCTATTCATTAAAGGTCAAATTGTCTGGATTACTGCCAATATCTTCCTAACTGGTTTCTCTGATGCCATTAATTTCACCCTTCCCACTCCAATCCTGTCCAGTCCATAGGAATGATTCTATTAAGACATAAAGTCACCCTCTAGTGGTTTCCCAACTTAGAGACAAAGTAAAAGCCTTACAAAAACTAGTTCCCATTACATTTTGGGCCTCTTTAAGGATAACCAAAGAAGAATGTATTGGAATATAACTATAAAAATTAAGAGTGAGGCAAGTTGGAATACATTGTCATAGTCTTCCTCTCCCTACTACAGCCACACCAATTTCCTCAATGTTCTTCAATGTTTAGGGTGCTTGCACTGGCTATTTCTTCAGCTAGGGATGATCTTCCCCCAAGAAATACTCAAGACTTGCTTCCTTATCTTCTTCTGATCTTGCCTCAATAACCCTTCTAATTAAAAACTCCATTCTATTAAAATTTTAAAGAGATTTTTCTCTATTCTGCATCTACTTTGTGCACACACACACACACACACACACACAATCTGTGTATGCATACACTTATACATATACTACCTTTGTGTTTTTGTCTTCTATGAAACAGGAAAAAATAAGTCCTACAAAGCCTTGATCCATCATTTGGTACATAGCTTGTGTACGAACATCTGAAATATAAATAAAAGCATTCTGTTAAATGAGCTGGGTTTAGTGGCACACACCTTTAATCCCAGCACTCTAGAGGCAGAAACAGGTAGATCTTTCAGTTCCAGGCCAGCCTGGTCTATAAAGTATGTTCCAGGACAACCAAGGCTACACAGAGAAGCCCTATCTAAAGGGGGTGGGGAGGAACCTTATTTAACAGATTTTATCCAAAGATAACAGTAATGTCTATTAATTATCATGTCAACATTCCTATTCCACAGGCAAAATAGGGATATATTGTAATAATATGAATGTCAGAGCATATTTTGCCAAATTAAAGAAATATTATGAAAAGTTTGATATTAAGTAGTAACTCTAAGCTGCTTAGCCTGAGTGGCCCTACTATGAAATGTAGCATAGAAAAAACAATTGAAAACAACTTCCCCCAAAACTTGATAATTTCCTCTAGACTAGAAGATAGGCTTTGGAAGTGGCAAAAAAATTTCTTAGAAGAAAAGCCTTTTGATGACCATGATCTGTAATGAAGAAGAAATGATATTCATGTGAGAGAAATAAACACTTACCAACATGTGAAGGCCAAACAGTTATATGAGGGTGGGAATGATACCAGCCAACAACTCTCATGGAACGACCTGTTAGTTCAGCCAACCTGTGTGTTTGTCAAGGTATTTTCAAAATAAAAAATCTTTATGCTTATTATAAAGGGTCAAAATACATAATTAAGGGTGAAATAAGGCTCATACTCAGAACTTCCAATGTTATTCCTTAAAGTCAGTCTTTTCTTTAAATATAATTCATATTTCCATTACATTGTCTTATTCTAATTGTGCAAATGTTTGCTCATTCAACTCTTTCCATTCTCTGCAAAGAAGCTTGTTTCAATCTTCAGAATTCTTTTATATTTTCAACTTGAGAATTTTCTGTCTTCTCTGTCTACTCGCACTTTTGGTAAAGAAATATTTTAAAAGTGTGCATGTGTACATGTCCAGTGGTCCTCAACTTTTCTAATGATGGAACTCTTTAATACAGTTCCTCGTGTTGTAGTGAACCCCAACCATAAAATTATCCTTTTGCTACTTAATAACTATAACTGTGCTTTATGAATCACAGTTCAGTTTCTCCTATCCTGTAAAATTCTGCCTAGTTTTCCTACAAAATACCTATATTAAAATATAACCAATGATTGACATTTTGACTTAAATGAGTGTACCACATAATTTTGATTTACATATCCTTGATGGCTATATATTAAACACTTTAAAAATATTTATTGGCTGGTCATGTTTCTTTTATAAAATAAGATCTGTTTATTTTATGAACTACTTGCATGTATGTATGTGCACAAGTACCTACAGAGGTTTCTTCTTTTGAGAACACGAGTCATGAAAGAGAATTTAATGCTGTATGAATAAAAACATAATTGAGGGACTGAAGAGGTTAAAAGCACTGTCTGGTCTTGCAGAGAACCTGGATTCAATTCCCATCACCCACATGTAGGCTAACAGCCATTTGTAACTCCACTGTCTAGGAGATTTGATGCCTTCTTCTGGCCTCCATGACATTGTATGCACATGGTGCATAAATATACATGCAAGCAAAACACCCATACACATTAAAAAATGTAATTGATAAAGAAAGTGAAAGACCCTAAGTGAAGTGCCACTGGTCCAAAATGGCCATTCTAATTGTATTGAGATGTATAACGTTGGGGACTGGGCAATTGTTTGAGTGGCTAGCTTAAACTACTTGGAGAGGTTTATGAGTTAATTAGAATAAAGTGATTTAATTTTTTAAAAGAAAGTACTGTCTACTTAGTTCATTGATTGGTTGAGTTTTCTGGTATTTAATTTTTGTATACATTCCAGATATTAACTGCTTATCTGAAGTATAGCCAACAAAGATTTTCTCCCATTCTGTGTATATGTGGATACAGGTCATAGAACTAGAAGTGGGACCACAAAAGGGGAAATGAGGTGCCAAGGAAGGGTATATGAAGGGTAATAAAACATGTAAGGTATGAAAACAAAAAGGCTAACTGAGGGTACAGGAATATTGGGGGAAGGGGAAAGAGCAACCGAAATAAATTGTTTTAAAGTGCAATAAAGAAAACCAATTATATGCTAATTTTTAAAAATAAAAATATTAAGAGAAAAACATACTCAGGGGCTGGAGAAGACCACTGGCTACTTTTTCAGAGAACTGAGGTTTGATTCCCAGCAGCTCACAACCATCTGTAACTTCAGTTCCAAGAGATCTAACACCCTTTTCTAGCCTTCATGGGCACCAGGCACACATATAGCACAGACATACACGCAGGCAACACACACACACACACACACACACACACACACACACACAATTGTGTATATATGAGTGGTGTGCACATGCACATCCCCCACACACTACATTTTATATAATTAAGTCTGAGGACCAATACAACAGTTTTTGAGCTAGGATCTCACTATGTAGGCTAGGCAGGTCTCGAATTTGCAATCCTCCTGCCTCTGCTTGCTACATGCTGAAATTTCAGGTGGACTCACTACACCTCACTTAAATGTTTTTAATGTTCAAATGACAAGAAAATTTTGCTTATTCTTTTAGCCTACCTCTTTAGTTATGGACTGAGAAGAATGAGTCACATGGCAGTGAAGAGTAGATGTGGCACTCTGTGTAAGATGTTTAGCTCTGTGTCTGGCTCCCAGTAAGTGCTTGACAAATTGTAACTATAAAGGTGAAGTATAGTCATGTACTTAGCCATTACCTGTTTGAGAATGAACTAGTTTCCACTTGACTATAAGTAATCTCAATAATAAATAGCCTTTTCATAACTATAAGAATTTTATATGGGCAATTATTTGTTTGTTTTAAAAATATACAGAATGACAATGTTCTACAGATGGGAAACAAAGTAAGCCTGTGAGATGACTTCCAGACTACACAAGAATATGGAAGAAAAACTGAAGTCAAGCCAGGTGGGCTTAAGTGAGTCATTAAATTTGGTGGCTTTTAGAGCAGAGAACATCTTCAAAGGGACAGAACCCTAGATATGTCCTATGGGTCACACTTGAGTACTCCACAGGGCACAGAGAAACAAAAGTATGAGAGAAGAATCTCAGGTCTAAGAAAAAGTAACTGCCCCTTATGAGAATGATGCTAAGTAACTGCACGGCCCTGGGAAGCAGGATGGGAACCAGCAGCTGTTTCCCCCTATCCATACCCTGCCAGGGTAAAGAGTCTCATCTTTAGGAGTCAGGGGACAGAGTGCTTAGAAGGGTCCTGCCTTAGAAGTGAGGAAAATCTCCTATACTCAGTTATTCTGTTCCACATAGTTCACCATGAAAAGGCTCAGATGCTCTCCAAGTTGCTTGACATCATCCTAGAAGTGAGCTCATAGATCTATATAGCAATATAGAAAAACCCAGAGGATAAGGACATCAGACCCCACATTGTCAGGAATACGAAAAGCAGTAGAAAATGTAAGGTACAGAGGAGATGAACACATTTGTGATTGTCAAGGATTAGTTGTGGCAGGAAAAAGTTGGGTATGAAAAGGTAGAATGAGAAAATAGTTTTATATCTTTTAAACTTTTATTATTATTGTGTGTATGATTTATTCTACCTTTAAGTGGGTTCTAAGGATAGAATTCAGGTCACTAGGCTTCTGTGGGAAGCATCTTTACACATGGAACTATCTTGTTGGTCCCCAGTTTTGAAAGTTGATTATTTCAGTGGTTATATATATCATGTGACAAATAGCACAGAACTATAAGTATTCTATCACTGTCAATTTCCTGTTTTCTTTTTATGTCATAATTTTGTAAGATAGAGCCTACAGATAAAATAGGTCAAGGTTACAAAGACTTTCTCTGTATTATATTTGTAAATTCTAATGGATTTATAAAGATTTCAGACACAGAATTTTTATAAATTTAAAGGGCAATCAGGATTAATAAATTAATATAAAAAGAACAACAGTTATATTAGAGAACACATATATACTTACCCTAATTAAATAGGAAAAACACCACCCTTCTTATAGAAAGATAATTTTCATAATATATAAAATATCTATATTACTGAAAAAAGATTATCAAACCAATAGAAAAACAAATGAAATAACCAAAAAATTTTGTAAAAATATCTTTGGCTCTTAAAAATGAAAACCTAATTTAAACTGTATATAATGGTGCACATCTTTTATCACAGAGGCAGATGGATCTCTGAGTTTGAAACCAACCTGGTCTACACAGTGAGTTTCAGGCCAACAAGAGTTACATAGTGAGACCTTGTCTCAAAAAGATAAAAAACAAAAACCATCAACAAGAAAAAAACAAGTTTACTCATTAAAAAAAACCAAACAAACAAATGTGTGTTCCAAGGTAGCCAGAGCTATAGTGAGACCTGTCTTAAAAATAAATAAACAAATAAAAACAAAATTAAAGTTGAAAGAAATGAAACTATTTTATTTTTTAAACAGTCTCACTATATACCCCAGGCTGGCCTCTACCTTGTAATTACTGGGACTACAGTCATGTGCCATCATAACTCTATTTTGCTGGGCACATTAGCAATAGTGAAACACAGAAGAATTGTATAGATGAAGTATCACATTTGGGGGTCTGTCATATCACTGAGGCCCCAGCTTCATACAGACATGGAACCTTGTAGTAGCTGACTGACAACCAGCTTGTTTGAATCTTTCTAAAGTAACTGATAGCATTTGCTTTCTATAGAGATTTAGGATTCAGTAGAATGTGTATATATGTGCATATTACAGAAAATGTTAGGACATTTTTCAAAGTTTTTTTTGGTAAAAATATATGTGATGAAGAAGTATCTCAACAATTGAAACAGTTGAATCCTCGAATTAATTCCTTCAATAAATAACCATGTAAAAATCAAAAGGCAAGGAAGATGAAATCAAGTAGGCCATGTTAGAAGAAACTGTTGATAATTCTTCCATCCTAATATGGGATTTTGATTGGCAATTAAAGCTTGTACTTTCTGGTGAGAGTTGCTACACAGGGGGGCTGGAGAGATGGCTTAGTGGTTAAGAGTCTATACTATACTTGCAGAAGCTGTGGGTTTAGTTCCCATCATCCATATCAGGCAATTCAAAACTGCCTGTAACTCAGCTCTAAGGGATCCAATGTCCCTTCTGGACAGTTTAGGCACCTTTATTCACATGTGGTATACATACCCACATATAAAATAATAAAATATATATTTAAGATTATTGTATTACAAATATCACCATGATGTAAAATGAAGTAAATTATATTTTATTGGCATAAGAAGCTTTATACTCTACCAAAATTTGTAGAAGTTGCTAATAAGATGGCCCTGCAATTTAAATATCCAGAAATAATGAATACCAATGCCATCAAGTTCAATGCTACAACTGATACAGCAGAACAACTACTGTGTATTCAGAAACCCTTTAATGATTGACTGCTACACCAGGCTAAGAAAGCAGCAGTGATAGTATTACCAAGATTAAAAAGCTACCACTGTCCTAAAGGAACAGATTTCATGGTTGATAAAAAATCTATAGGGGGTATTGAGGAGATGTCTGGCTGCTCTTCCAGAGGACCTAGGTTCATAAACTCCAATTCCAGGGGAATTTGATGCCCTCTTCTAGGCCTCCTTGGACCTTAGGCATACATGTGGCATATATACATGCAGGCAAAACACCCATACACTTAAAAACAAACAGAGCTTTTTAAAAAAAAAACTATAGTAGCATTTTTCATGACTAGTTTGTCTAATTTCTTAAATATTTGAGAAATTTGTGTAAATGAATTATAAGCTAATAATTATAAGCTAAAAATTGGTTCAAAATAATATAAACACACAAAGCATAAATATACTTTAATATTGAAATATTATATGACTAGTAAGGGAATATATTTTTATATATAACCAATCCATAATCTTTGAAAAAGAGAAGTAGTTTTTTTTAAAAGATTTATTTATTTTATGTACGTGAGTACACTGTGGCTATCTTCAGAAACACCAGAAAAGGGCATCAGATCCCATTACAGATGGTTGTGAGCCACCATGTGGTTGGTGGGAATTGAACTCAGGACCTCTGGAAGAACAGTCAGTGCTTTTAACCACTAAGCCATCTCTTCAGCCCCCAAAAAGTGTTTTTAAAAGATTATATACAATCTAGAACATTCTATATCTTATTCATATTTCAAAGTATTATAAAACATAAAACTTAAACTCTATAAAGAAAATCTCTATGTGATACCAACAAAATACTTTAAATGTATATAAAAATTTTAATTCTCAAAATCTAGACACAGGAAGAAGAAAGTAACATCATTGCTTCTGTATTTTCTGACTGACTGGAAGACTGTACTCTAAGTAATAAGAATAGACTGGCGGACTGGTGGTGGCGCGTGCCTTTAATCCCAGCACTTGGAGGCAGGTGCAGGTAGATTTGAGTTCAAGGCCAGCCTGGTCTGCAAAGAGAGTTCCAGGACACCCAGAACTACACAGAGAAAGCCGGTCTTGAAAAAAAAAAAAACAGATACTGATGATACAAAATGAGTATTTTGTTACTGAATTACAATGAATTATTAACATAGAAATGTTAAATTCAATATTAACAATTTATTATAAAATGGACCTATAGATAACAAAAAATGTACATTTAAAATATAGATAGTGTACATGCACAGTGTAAACTTTGAAAAGTATACAAAAGAGCTAGGTGTGATGTCTGTTGGCTGATACCTGCAATCCCAGTACTCAAGTAGAGGCCAGACCAGACAGAATAAGACCTCCTCTTAAAAACCCCCAAATAAAAAGGTACAAAAAGTATTTTAAAATTCATTTTCTCCAGTCTTATGCACGGATAGAGCCAGGACAAGACTGACTTAGTCTGGTGGAACAATAAACCACCAGAGGCATTGATGTAAGTTCAACTTGCTATAGATAAGGTATGAAATTCGGACTACAGGAAAATAAATCATTCTTTGGTTATCTTTAGCATGGAATTATGTGTTAAGTTCTCCAAATTGCATGTTCTGAGGGAAAGTTTCATAAACTAATCTTTTCAAGGATAAGATAGTAAACAACCCAGAAATTAGAAAAACTGGAAGGGTAAGAAGTAATGGAGAGTCAATATGTAAGAAGTATGATGGGAGACAAAGGGGACTGCTTATAAAGCTCGCTGTTAATTGTGTTTTACCCTAAGACCTATGGACATTTATGAGCAGGACCATCCAAAACTTTTATTTCTTCCAATAAAAGAAACAGGAAGAAATGAAATTTCTGATTAACCTGGGATGAGGAGATGGCTCAGTTCACAAATTACTTGCTTTGTAAGTGGAAGGTCTTGCATTCCATGCCCAGAACTCATAATCCAGTCAGAATGGCTATCATCAAGTAAACAACGCATCTGGATAGATGGCTCAGTGGTTAAGATAATTTGTTGCTCTTGAAGAGGACCAGGTTCAGTTCCCAGAACCTATGTGGTGACTTACAGCCATTTACCTATAACTCCAGTTCCAGGGGATCTATCTAATGACTTCTGACCTCTGAAGACACAAGCTACATATATGATACAAATGCGTACATTCAAGCAAAACATTCATATAAATAAAATAAATCTTAATTTAAAATGAAAACAAATGACAACAAATACTAGAAAGGCTATAGAGGAAAGGAACTATTATTGGTGGAAGTGTAAACAGGTACCATGATAATGGAAATCAGTATGAAAGGTCCTGAAATATACAACTCAAATATAACTTCAATAAGACACAGATATACCATTTCCAGGATTCCATAGCCTATTACTGAGATACTAGCACACTCATGTTCATTGCTGCGTTATTCACAACAACAAGGAAATGAAAGTAGCCTAGATGCCTTCAATTAATTAAAATATGGTACAAACACACAACAAAAACATTATCGAGCTCTTAGGATTTGTAAGTAAACAGAGTTAGAAAACATTATATTGAATGAGGCAACCAAGACCCAGAAAGACAAACAGCATATGTTCCTTTTCATATTTGGATCCTAGTTTTTAACTTTTATATATGTATTTTTTCATGGAAATAAATGTGTGTAGACATGAGGAAACCACAAAGAGGCCCATGAGGGGTAGGAATAAGGCTTTAAGAAAGCAGAATGGAATGAGTAATAGAACACATTGTGTAAGCAGACAGAAAATACTTAGAACAGATTTAAGTGGGCAGCAGGGTGAGGAAGCAGGGAGATGATGGAACAGAATGAATAAGGGGAGTCCACTGAAAGCAAGAATGTAGGAAAATATATAAAAACTTGCTACTTTGTAACTCTGTAAAGTAAATTTTTTAAAGGTAGAAAATGTTTAAGAAACAATACTTGAATACATGCACAAATATTAGGGGCAGGGGGAGAGATGATTTTTCCAAATAATTAGATCTAAAGGGTAAATATGAAGATGGGGGAATATTTACCAGGGAGAAAATTTATGAAAGCAACTCAAGTAAGTCTACAGCAATTACAATGGTGTGGCCCAGAGCCTACAAATCATTTCCTGTGTTATTAAGGATATTTCTGCCTCTGTTGAGGCTGCAGACAGCTGCTCTGGAGAAATTTCTACACGGTCCTTTCTCTTGTCAGAACGCCGCAAGATGATGACAGAATGGATATGAACAATTCTGATGGTATCCATCTAAAGGAAAATCCACAGAAATGGTTACTTCCTGTCTTTGTCCATTTCCTTCCCCAATTTCCTATAATTATAGGATTACATTTTATTAAAGTAGCAGTAGGAAATTTCACTTTCAAAGACTGATGCTTTTCTTATGAATGCAATGTTTGGTTTATTTATTTATTTATTTATTTTTGTATTTTTGAGACAGAGTTTCATGTAGTCCATGTGGGCCTCCAACTTGCTATATAGTTTGGGATGGGCTTGAACTCCCTTTTTATTTTTTTAGATTTATTTATTTATTTTATGTATGTGAGTACACTGTCACTGTCTTCAGATACACCAGAAGAGGGCATCAGACCCCATTACAGATGGTTGCGAGCCACCATGTGGTTGCTGGGAATGGAACTCAGGACCTCTGGGAGAGCAGTCAGTGCTCTTAACCCCTAAGCCGTCTCTCCAGCTTGAACAGGGCTTGAACTCCCAATCCTCCTACCTCTGTTTCCCAAGTGCTAGAGTTATAGGTATACATCGCTTTTCCCAGTAAATAAATGTTTTAAATGTACTATATCCCAATCAAGATATATATATTTTAGAGTATTTAGATCAAGAATATACTCTTTGAATATTCATCTAAATTGTACAAAATGCATTATCATATGAAGGACTATAAAACAGAGTTCAAAAGGAAAGGAAAGTATTATACATGAAACTTCACTAAAATAATGGAGACAATTGGTGCTAGAAGAACTGAGAAGACTAATTAGAAAAAATTATCCATAGAGAATGTAGGCAAATGTATATATTTGTTGATTGCTGTGTATGGATATATAGTATTTCTATAGTTGCCAAATAGGTATATGAACTACAGAAGAGGTACAGTGTGAGTATAATGTTTGAGAGATGCTCAGAGTTTGAGGTGGAATGGCAAACAGTAAGGATAAGAAGAGGCAATGAAAAAATGTACAAAGTTGTAATATCATGCAGTAGCTTACAGGATGAAGTGGAAGAAAGAAAATTAAATATGGCAATTTTTAAAAGAAGTATTGTAGCTTAGGCTCAATCAGAATCAGTTGAGAATCATCAACAAAACTTTCATAAGGTAACAAAAAAGATATGGAGAGTGGGATCAGAGGCCTGGGCCCTAAATCAAGAGGGGTGCCCACATTTAGACTATTGTAGAGTAAAAGGGAGAAGACAGAAGACATAAAGAGCAGTTGAAATGGTTCAAGTTTTAGGTAGTAGTGAGGAGTGGCTTTCAATGTCAGAAGTGATAGGACAAAGATGAAATCTGAAAGCAAGTTTTTGAAGTAAGCTATGATCACCCTACTGTACAATATAGAAGCCATTAGGCACAGCTCTTAAAATATGTCAAGTCTAATTTATAAATGAGCCATGAATGTAATACCCACTGTGATTAAAAGGCTTATTAGGGGCTAGAGAGATGGCTCAGTGGTTAAAAGCACTGGCTGCTCTTCCAGAGGTCCCAATTCAATTCTCAGCAAGCACATGGTGGCTCACAGCCATCTGTAATGGGATATGATGCCCTCTTCTGGTGTGTCTGAAGATTACTACAGTGTACTCACATAAAATAAATAAATAAATAAATAAATAAATAAATAAATTTTTAAAAGTCTTACTAAAAGGGGGGTTGGGAAGAATGTGAAATATCTCAATATTTCTTAAATATTGAATATATATTGAAATAATACTTTTCATATTAGATCTAAATGAAATATACCCTTATATTAACTTTATTTTCACCTTTTTGCTGTAGTTACTTATTAAAGAAAGTGTGAATTTAGTTAAAAGAATAGTTACCATTTAAGGTAAGATTAAACTATCCTGAAGAGACAAAAATCAAGACAAGGTACCATTGCATGAAAAAATACTGACTATTCTTTTAAAAAATTTTAATAAAATGTTGCTCACGAATAATCTGTTCTTTTTGTTATTGTTTGGCAAGGTCTCAGCCGATAGCCTAGGGTGATCTGTAACTTACTTTGTAGCTTAGATTAGACTAAAATTCACAATAATCCTTCTGCTCTAACCTCTTTAGTGCTGAGATTACAAGTGTGATGACCACACCTGGCTTTATAATTTGTTGAAAACACAACACAGATAGCTCTACAGAGCTTGTATCTTCAGAAGGTTGTTATGCTTTTGTATTATTGTATTACTTGGAGTTTATATAAATCATATGTACCTACTTTATGGTTCAGTGGCTTTTCACACATTCTCCCTTCTGTGTAAATATTTTCACAAATACTCTGTAAGCACTTTCATATTAAGTTTCTGATCATATTATAAATATAAAAATCATTTTCTCCTGCATATATATCCTTTCATAATCACTATGCACTTATTTTTGCTAGAATACACATTGTGTCATAATTATTTTCACACTTTTCTCCTCTATTAGAATGCAAGCTTCTCAGGAACAGAGAACATATTTCATTATGCTTTCTCACCAGTAACTAGTACAATGTGTGGCAGCATAAAGCAGATATAAAATAAAATTAAGAACAAAGACAGATGCATACATAACCTCTCAAAGAATAACAAGACAAATAACTGACTTTTCATCAGAAACTATGAAATCCTAAAGATTACATTTTAGAATACTAAAATAAAATAGAGGCAAACCAGGAATTCTATAGTCAAAGAATGTATCCTTTAAACTGCAGACAAAACAAAAGACACATTCAGATATCCAATGGAGGGAATTATAAAAACCAGAAATGCTACAGTTCTTCAGAAAGAAAGGCAATTCCAGAAAATAAAAAAAAGTAAGTGCAATAAAAAATATTTGTATAAATACAATGAATATATAGTGTACAAGACAGTAGTAACAATGTTAAATAAAGCTTTTATATATATGCTATATATTTTATATAATATATACCTATATATGTAATTAAAAGGTATGACAATAATCCAAAAAGTAGAGGGTATAAATTAACATAACAAATGTTCTAAAATTTTATCATGAATATTCTCCAACTTATAATTATTTAACCAAGAATTTTTCAGCTTTACATTGATGGGGAAGTGGTATATATTCGATAGAAATTATACTTTAAATTTGAATCTTTTCCTGGGCTGGTGATAAACATGTAACCTAATACATTTTTGCAATGTTAAGCTGTTTTTAGTGAGCCATGCAATCATGAAGATGAACAATTGATAATGCATGGTATGCTAGGATGTTTGGTACTTTAGGTGTATTATACACCTGGGTGTATGATATTTTCAGCTTACAGTGAGTTTATTAAGATATTAAAAAATTGTATTATTGGAAAAACAGTAAAAATAGTTGTATTACATTTAACAAATATTGAAATATGTAGAATAACCACTAAAAAATAAAAGACTATCATAACTAATAAATGGAGGGCCAAAATAGAATAATAAAATATATTTGGACAACACAAAAGGTAAGAAAAGAGAAAAAGAGTAATTTAAGACAAAAGGTAGATTAATAGAAAGCAAGAAAATGGCAATTGAAATTCATATATAAATTAGTAACTACTAAAAATAACTGAAATTCCAAATAAAAAGATCATCAGATTGGATTTTTATAAGCTGCTATTTTTATAATGCTAATAAGAGCTATAAATATTAGCACACAAACGTGCTAAAATCAAGGGGAGAAAGTTTACAAAAGAGTAGTGACCAAAGGGATATATAAAATTAATAAGTAGGTTTTTGTTCCTTTTTAAAAATGAGAGTGACTTAAGTACAATATTTGTAGCCTAATACAAAGGAGAAGTGTTATGGTTAATCTGTTGTCAATTTGGTTGGGCTGAGTGGTTTCTAGAGTAAGATTAAGGACACTCACTGCTGGTGTGCCTGTGAGTGCATTTTCAAAGAGGATTGATTTGCAGGAGAGTAGCAGGAGAGTCCCTCCCCCTGGATATGGATTCTCCATGCAATAGTCTGGGAGTCCAAGTGGAATTAAAGAAAGAGAAGAGCAAACCTGCCAGGGCAGGTTAGCTCCATCCTTCCTGAGCTAGTGTGTGTAGCACTGTATCCATCACCAATGGCCACCAGACCCCATAGCATTCAGCCATCCAGTGAAGATACACACCAGCTAAACTCCTGGGAGTTTCCAGGCCCGCAGTGGAGCTGCAGCATTTATCCTCCTTGAACTGAGACTTTCAGCTTCTCGGTTTAGCCTGTATGGAGTTATTCTACTCTTCAGTAAGCAGAAAGCCAATTTTGGACCACTCAGGCCCCAAATGGGTAATAAATCCTATAAATTCCCTTTTGTAAGAAAGAGATCTCAACTCTATAGCTTCTGTTCCTCTAGAAAACTTTAATACAGGAAGAAAAGAGGCTTAGAGGTTATAGTGAAGGAATTTGTATATAATAAATGAAGATAGTAAGTAGATGCTTTGCCTAGTAGCTTGGAGAAAGGATAAGAAACAATTATTTTTACTCTACTTTACAGAATCCTTGGGCTCTAATATATTTAAGGAAAATCTAACTAATTTTATACAATTAGCCTAGAGAATGGCAGGAAAACTGGTGTGGGAGTGAACACTCAGGAGAAAAGCCAGGGTGGCCTAAAAATCACAACACCATGGATAGATTGCCTATACAAAGTATAAATAGACTATTGAGGATTGGGTAAAGAGGTAACAAGAAATATGAACCAATTTTAAGTCTTAGGACTTAGGCTTGAAAACAGCCAGCAACTGCAAGAAGAAAAGAGTAATGTTGATCAGATTGTTCCTGTTGATCAAGTAAAGTTACTACAAAGAACAGAAACTAACTAGGTTCCATTCTAACGAGATTTTTCAACTGATTTTAGTATGGAAAAATCCATACTGCATAATTACAAAGTGGATTAATATTCTGGCTGAAGTCATCAAACAGACTACAGAAATTTCTCCCCAACCACAAATTTTGATCATGCAGAATTTTATCATACATACCTTTTCTGGAACTGTGCGCATTTCAGTTCCAGTATATGTAAATTTGGAGTCACTCCTATTGGAGATAGATTAGAAAAGAGAGGAATTGGAGTTTAGAATAGAAAAGGGAGTCAAGGAAAAATAAGATAAACAGTTTTTGCAATGTAACCTTAGCTGAAACAGAAGAGGAAGAAACGGGAACAGAGTAGACTCCAGGTTTAAAGGAGGAGGCTTGATAAACAATAAGCTATGCTTTATAGTTTAAACAACAGGGACTCCCATTTCTCAAGATTTCAAGCTACTAGGAACCTCTAGGATCTGCAGGGTTCACAGGGGTGGGACAGAAATCCACTGATGATTTAGATGGGTGATGGGTCAACAAGGGAAAAGCTTCTCAATATGTAGACATTATCTGCCACAAGGAAAGTTAGTGGCCTGTCCCTGGTGTTTCAGGGAAGAGAGATATAAAAGACATAAAGCACGAAAATGGAAAGCAATATAACCAAATGCCAAGTATATTGATAGTCATTTTTAACAACCTGGTTTTATTACAGTCAATAAAATTCTATTCATTTAACTATCATGCGACAACCAATTAGGCTCCTGGAGCTCCAACAAAATTCTATGTATAAGAACTTCTACATATTCACTTATGATGTTGGTTCCTCCAGTCAGATTTTCCACATAGGAGATATATAATTTAAATAAAAATTATGCTATGATATAAGGTTAAAATGAATCTTTAGGATCGTGGTAGAACTCAGATTATAGTGAGGGATCTCTATACTGTTAATATTAAGATAAAAACATATAAACACTGTTACCAAAGTTGCTGTAATTCTTCACTAAGAATCAGTTTAGAGATTATAATATGATGTAAACAAATATAGTCTTACCTTATGTCATCATTCAACTAGAGTAGGAAAGAGCAGAAAACATTAATGACACATTTATTTAGTTATAGGGATGCAGATTTACATGAAAATTAGGCCATGTGTTCACACACAACAGTAAGACTGGAGACTTCTGAGTACTTTAAAGGTACACTGTATTTCCTCATCTACTTTCAAATATCTGTAACATTTAACCACAACAGACTTTGGAGTCCATGAAACCCTTCTGTTTTGCGTTCTTTGCTGTACTTTAAAAATGCTTTAAGTGATAGATAGCTCTGCTTCTCATAGGAAAAACTGGTGGCGAGACACAAGGCTGTAACTGTGGGCAACTTGTTTCCTATACCTCGAAAACTCATACCAGAATGTGTTTCTGGCCTGGTTTGCAGTTTTGATCAATGGTATGATAACCCCATCCCCGTGAGTTCATGCAGACCGCTGAGGGTTTACAGGGACATAAGCATGGATCAGAGCGCCAGAGGAAAAGTACCCCCGCGACAGCATTAAAAAACTCAAAGGATCACATTTCTATGGCCTCCCAGCCGCCTCAAGAACCACTGGGTACTGATCAGCGGTATTTCAGCCAAGTTGGCCGACCTACTCACCTCCCCTATACATAGACCCATCACCTCCTCCTTTTCTGTGCTCAGAGCATGGTTGAGACAAACTAGGAAAGCGTCAGACTCAAGATGAACCGCTTGCACAGCTTGCACCACCTGCACCGCCATCTTCTTTCCACTCACGTCCGTTGGGGCGCACAGCCGCTTGTCCAACCCGGTGCTCAGACGCAGCCTTACTAGCCCTGCGCTTGACGCTCCGCCCAGCCCTGGCCTAGCGGCGCGGGTTCCACAGGGGAGGAGCCTGAGGCTCAGAGGCGGTGACCCCCTAGCAGCACCTGGTAGACGCCCGGGTTGGTCTCGGTTAGCGAAGCTATGGGACGTTGGGTGGTGGCTGGCGAAAGAGGTCTGCGGGGCAGGCTGGGCAGCTAGCTGGGCAGCAGGGAGGCGGTGCTCCCCTGCCGGGGTGGATGTGGGCTGTGAGTAGCTACAGGGCGCCAAGGCAGACGCCTTCATAGTGCCGGCGCCCATTTGGCCCGCCCGCTGATGAGAGCCCGGCGCGGCCTACATGCGTCATGGAAAGCTCTTTGAGGCGACGTCGCCGCGAATAAGGGCCTCTTTTGAAAGTCCGTCCTAAAACAGTTAAGGTTTTGTTTTATTTTGTTTTATTTCCAACTCATAGCCCTTGGACCAATTCCGGCTGCTGGCCTGCACCTCCTACCTTCAGTTCTAGAGTGACCTCGGCTCGGGGATGCCCCTTGGTTCGTCCCAGGCTCACATCGCGATCCCTGATTGAGTGTCCCGGGGTGGGGGACCTGGAAGTTTTAGCCTAGCTGTTCTGGAGGTGGAATAATTAGTCCAAGAAACATTTTATTCATGTGAGTAACCTTTGACAGACACAGTGTTTTACTGTATCTGAGAAAGTAACTCCAGTTTGCTTGCTACTACTTTTTACAAAAGTTTTTAGATATATATTTGTCTTAATACAGGAAGAGAAGGATTGACGAGCTTTATTGTTCAAGTTTGACTGTATCACATCAAGGAACTAATTCTAGGAAATTACAAATTTCCTCTGATCTTTTCCTTGGTGTCAGACATGGTTAACTTATATATAAAGCTAATTTTATTTTAAAATATGAGGGATAAATATACAAATCTTCCTTAAAATTTACAAGTTTACCAATTACACAAGGGGTTTAGTACTGAGTATAAATGAAAGCAAAATATATGCCACGCAGCCTCCACAGCTCATATGCTTTTGTTTGAATTTGTTTTAAAAAATTTATTTTTGTAGTTCTGAAGCCAGATAGATATGGCAGTACTGGAAAGGGAATATATTCAAGGTGTTACTTGAAGAGGTGTTGATGCTTTGCTCTTTTCTCCCAAGTCAGTTCCAACCCAAGTCTCCCTACAAATACTGTCCCAAGTCCAAAGCACTGTGGTACAATACATATGCTAACAACCTCTGTTTTTGCCTAATGCTTAGCCCACATCTTTCCATGATTAAGTTTTATAATGATAAAGGTTGGAGAAATTGCAGGGGTGTAATTGGTCCTATCTATACTTTCTCTCTAAGTTTCAGTTTTCTGTCATATGTTATTTTCAGTTACTGTTCATAGCTGACATGTCCTGCCCTGTTGGGGCAGCAAAGGACTGCTCATCGTATTATATTTGCTTAAGGAGTATTTTCAGTTTATCAATTTGTTTAGCCACCTTCAAGAAGAAAAATTCTTATGTTGATTTTAGTCAGTCTCATATACTAGAGTGTTTATGCTACCTGTCATAGCTCCAAACATTTGACTGCAGAGGGAAATAATATTTATAACAAGCTTTACATATAGTGTGTATAAACTGCCTCAACTGGAATCGGGCTCTGCAACTTCTAGCTGTGTGAACTAGTGGACTAGTTAGCTAACTTTTGTATGCCTTACATTCATCACCTTTAAGTGGGAATAATACTAATGCTCGTCTCATAGCATCCCATGAAGACTGTAAGATCAAATGGGTCAATGTACCTAAATATATATTAAACATATGAGAAGTGTTTAATAAGTATCATTGCAATCAATATGTTTATAATTTTACACCTCAGAGAAAGTGAAGTAGAGAAAAATTAGGTTGTCTGATGGTCACAAAGCTTCTCAGTGGCACAAACAGGATTCATCCATCAGGCAAGCTGATACCTGGGCCTGTGTTCTTTGCTAACTGAAATTATAATTGGATGACATTATTAAATAACTTCAAATAATTAGTACATTCAACTTATTGATGCTATTTAAAAACTTAAATACCTCAAAATTAAAGCAAATCATACTCTCTTAAGGAAAATATATAAAACCATTCTTTCTGTAAAGGAAAAATAATAGTTCTATTTTAATTACAACTTAAGAAAGCTCTTCTGTATTTCATCATTCATTTAGAACCTAATTTACAAAGTATCTAAAAATAATATGTCTAAGTCAACATGGCTTGTGGAATGAAGGCAATTTTTATGGAAGAAATCTCCTTTAGTGGTTGTGATAGCTATAAAGTTATACAAACATTTTGGGGTATATTTGTATTTGAAACTGGTAGTGTTTTTAAATTAAATTGCATAGGTTATATTCCATGTATTGTATTGTACCTTGTAACTAAATTTATCCTGGCTTAAGATATTCTTTAGTTGGGGGAATCCTGAAATTTGTGAACAAATACCATATGCCAAAAAATGTTTTCTAGTCAAATAAATTTGGGAAATGTTAAAACTATATAAAATCTCTGTATAGTCAGTTGGAGTTTTTACTATGCTAATGTGCTTTTATAATCTCCAGTATTCCCAAACTTATTTGACCAAGGAAAATGTTGGGATCAAGTGTTCTAAGAATCACATTTATAGAAATGATGTTTCATTCATCCAACATGTGATTTTTAAAGACTTGGATCTGGATGCTAAGCCTTTGCATATCTCTACTGAGGGTGTTTATGGTTTCATAGTTATGTGATGGCTTATTAGACCCTTGATCACTGGAATTGCCTCTTAATGATAGGACACATAAATCCAGGTTAATGTGCTGAGTGTTGTTCCCAGGCTCATATTGTCAGTTCCCAACCTGTTAACCTTTGGGAGTCATAGGAGCACACTATAATGCCTTTCTTCTAAGAACATTTTGTAGTGCCTCATAGTAATTCAGAATATTACATGCTATCTGCCTTCTCATCTACTGGAATTATTTCCTTTCAATGTCAGTATGACCAATAAAGTTTTGTTTTGATTCAAAAGAAATTTAAATGTCAACATGTTGGTTGTTGCTAGGACCTATCTATATCTATGAAGTTGAGATGATCTTGAAGCCTTTAACAGTTGGATCCTCCTTTCAAGATGTTCCGTGTGTGTGTGTGTGTGTGTGTGTGTGTGTGTGTGCGCGTGCGCGCGCGTGCACACACGCACACACACATTTTATTTTATATTAGAATTTGCTGGGGATGATCTTTATAAAGCTCTAGAAGAAAGGCAAAACATTTGTATTTGCTAAATGAAAAAAATTACAAAGTTTATAGCTAGAGACTCATGCATTTTCGGCAGATAGAAAGGAACAGCAAAAGTATGCAGCTTGAGACAGCCCTCGTATTTGAAAGAAATTTGAGGTTGAATATAGTGGTAATAATGATATTGCTAGAAGTGGTTGCATAACCTGTAGCAACTAAATGAAAAGAAATGAGATGATATTGCCATATAGAAAGGAGGTTTTGGTTATAGAAAAAGGATTCTATCATAAATAAGTTGGAAATGAGAGTACATACAAGTGAAAGGAGGAACATGTGAGAGATTCAGAGTCATAATCACGTAGGGAATAAATGGATAACTATGATACCTATTTATATCTATTAGTTGCCATATTCTTTTCTTTCTTTTTCCTTTCCTTTTCTTTTCCTTCTCTTCCCTCCCTCCCTCCCTCCCTCTTTCTCTCTTTCTCTCTTTCTCTCTTTCTCTCTTTCTCTCTTTC